CAGGTTCCGTTCCCTCCATAAATCTTTTAAATTTAACTCTTTCATCATTTCCTTACATGACATAGAAAATTCTCTTTTCCCCTTATTTTTTTCCATATTACTTATATTAAAATTGCATTTCTTATTTGCTGTCTTTTTTTAATGTGTCCATCCACTCCATTAAGGACATGGATGTGGTTCCATAGGTAATTCCGGCATAGGGACAAATTCCATTCCAACTAAATAAAGAATTTTATATTGTTTACTTAGAACTACTCAATTGAAATCATCCCCCTCCCACTTTCTCAGGCTATGGGGCAGTGTGGAATATGGCTTCCAAAGCTGACACTTTTTTATTTTGGGGCCTTTTATTTCTTGTTCCCCTCTAATCTGTCCATGTAGCACTTCTAAAGTCAGAAAAAACAACAATGGTGATAGCGGACATCCTTGCCTTACTCCCTTCGATATTTGACATTGTTCAGTTTCTTATTCCTTTTGCTGTTTGTGTGGAATATATTGCTTGTACCATTCTTATAAATTGTTGTTGAGGTATTCCCTGTTAGGAGAATGAGTGCACTCAGGGAGAGTGGTGATGAATAACATACAGACTAGGTGCAAATACTTCATCATAGTCATTGGCTGACTGATCGAACCCTTGTGCTACTAACCTGACTTTATGGGTAACAGTCCCATCCACACCTGTCTTAATTTTATAAATCCACTTACACCCTATGGCATGCTCACCTGGTGGTAACCTGACATTTTCATATACCTCCAACCTTTGTAAAGATTTCAGTTCCTTATCCATTGCTTCCTGCTAAGCAGCCTGATCTTTAGCAGGATACAGTTTCAGTTCATTATAATTAGTAGGAACTATATTTACTTGGCATACTATACTAGCCTGCTATCTATCTGGTGGTCGTGTTACATGGGTTGAACGTCTAGGCAACTCAGGGCTTACTGGTGGACTCTCCTGTTCCACCTGCTCCTGTTCTTCTACCTCCTCCTGTGCCTGTTCTTCCTTTTTAATGGCTATTGATGGTTTAACTATCTCATCGTTAGGGACTACTTGGGTGTCAATAACAAAATCATTGTTGGATTCCTGTTCTAGTTTATGCCACCTAACGTGCTCAAGAAATTTAGCACTAGCGCTACAGTAAATATTAGCTGGGCCTGGAGCCCAGAATCTAAACAATCTATGGTTGGCCTTGTAACCTTTCAGTCTTATGAGGGAATATGCACCCATGCTGGAGCTCCAAATGTGTGTAGATAACTTAAATTTGGTTTTCTGCCATGCCAACGAGTGAATGGCAATTCACCAGTTGTTGTGTTAACTACATTGTTTAAAACATGGTTACTACACATTATGGCTTCACCCCACAGTGTATCAGGCAAATCTGAATCAGATGTGTCCATTATACTCAAAACATAGCAGGTACCTCCCAAACTGGTTTTCTTAGGACCAATTTTGTCAGCAAAAACAACCTCTAAAGGTTCTTTGGTCTTAAACCCATTCAGTCTGTTTGCTGGAGTAACCTTGCTTTTCTCCTGATTACAGGCATTACAGTTTAAGTATTTGCTACAGGGTTTTAATTTTATTCCCTCTGACAATTCAACAGTTTGTTTCAGAATTTTGAAATTAATGTGCCCCAGACATCTATGCAGTAAAATGTATACATTTGTCATGTGGCTTAACATTGTTATAAACTGAGTTAGCCATCTGCAATTGGTCATCATGTATAACATATAAATCATTCTCTAAAGTAGCAGTAACACTTTTACCCTCTTTCTCTATTAACTCCTAAAAGTTACTACATAACCAATATTAACTAAAGCCCTTACTGATAACAAATTAAATTTCATTTTAGGTACATACAACATAGTTAAATGCTCATTTACACATGAACAATATGCAGTACCTTCACCAGATGCTTTCATCTTCCATCCATTTGCCAATGATACATGTTGCTTACTCATGGACATCTTTACAAACCTCTCTCTATTTCTAGTAATGCACTGCAATACTCCACTATCAACTACCCACAAATCATGGTTTACAGTTGAATTGCTAGACATAGCTAAATTAACATTCTTTTTAGCCTTCTGGTGATTACCAGTATTCTGTCATTTTCCCGTCTTACAGAATCTAGCTATATGTCCCCTAGCCCCACAAGAAAAACATTTCCTAACAGTATAGGCAGTTGAAAAATCCTCTTCTTGTGGTTGTTTCTCTCTCAGTTGGTCTCTATCCAGCCTTCTTCTTGCCTCTTCTAACAATTGTCCAGTAATGTCAGTCAATGTCAGTTCATTTCTGGTCAGGATTTCCAGTGAAGATACATAATCATCATAACTTTCATCCAATGAGGAAAGAATGATGTAAACTTGAGGCAGCTCTGAAAAAATCAGTTCCTTTTCATGTAACTCTTGAAAAGTTCTTTTCATGAAGTTCAAATGAGCTAACATATCTCCACCTTTCAGAAGACGTGCTCTAAACAGTTTACGTGTAAGATGTATGTGTGCACCTACACTGTCATGAACATAAATCCTCTTCAAATTCTCCCAACACCTAGCAGCAGACACTTCTCTATGAATAGGGACTAGCTGCTTGTTACTCAGTGTTAGTCCAATTATACAAAGAGCTTGTTCGTTGTTCTGTTTAAAGTCAGCTAACTTTTTGGCATCGTCCTCATTATTTGGATCCCAAGCATTTACATCTGGTGGATTCTGAACTGCAGCCCATAACCCTTCCCTACGCAGAAGTAAACTACACTTCATAGACCAGAAAACATAGTTTGTTCCATCCAACCGGGTTATCAGTGATACACTTGTTGACGGGTCTTGTGCCATCTTTACTAGGACAGTAACCCATGATTAAACAGTAAACAGCTGTCTGTATACGGTACTGTGTATTCACACTAACTCTCAGTTATCTAGGCCTGGGCCCATAACCAGTTTTGAGGTATTCCCCATTAGGATGAAATGAGTGCACTCAGGGAAACATAGTGAGAGTGGTGATGAATAACATACAACCAGCACACAGATACACTGAATAGTAAAATGTAGGTTTTACTTCCAGTAAACGGGTAAACAAAGTCCAACAAACAGTCAAAATCATTCACCATTAAAGCAGTTAGTATCAGTCTAGGGATAATCCAAAAATGAAGTCAAGTATCATAAACAGAGTTCAGTAAACGGAGTTTGCTAACAGTTGCAAAACTCACAGTAATCCAAGTAGAACGATGATCAGGCAAAACAGGAAATGCAAGGAGAGAGAAACCAGGTTTTTGGCTTCATCTTATGGCCGTTGGAAGAACCTCAGACAATCACACTTAGAGCATTCTCTTAAAGATACAGTATTAAATTACTATCCTGGTTTATATATTTCCAACCCAACTGTTAGGTGACTATCATTCCTAACAATTGCTCCCAAAAATTCATAATTTCTAATTGTTTTGTAATAAACTGCAATTCAAATTATCAAAAGCCTTTTGTGATCTAGAAACATCAATGCTAATTGTCTTCCAGAATGTACTTCATAATATTTCAGTATGTTTGTATTCGTTCTCAAATTATTTTTCATCTGTCTTTTTAGTAGAACTCTATTTTGATCTGGATGTATCAACTCATTTCATACCTTTTTTAGCCTTTCTGCCATTATGGATGCAAATATTTTATAATCAGTATTCAATAATGAAATAGGCCTATAATTCTTTATTTGTTGGTGATTTGTCTCTTCTTTTGGGATTAACGCATGTGATCAAAATCAGCATGTATTTATAATGTATTTACAATGGTTGCAGTTTCCCAGGTTCATATGATTGCCATTTGTGTCCTTGCCAGCTGGCTTCCGACAAGCAAAGCCAACGAATTTAATGCCTGATGATCTAAGGTGGAGCTGGAAAGATGATGTTAGCACTGGGGAGGGGCTACAAATACAGGTGAAGCTTCACTTGCTCACCTCCAGCTGTGCAGCCCAATTCCTAACAGGCCACAGACTAGTTCTAATCTGTGGCCTGTGGATTAGGGACCCTTGCTCTAATCATTTCCTTGCTTACCCTATCAGCATTGCTCTGAAGGCATTCATAAGAAAGAGGCTAGATATTCTGTACACTTGCAGGATGAATAAGGACAAAAGTTATAAAGAAAAAATATATGAACAATGTTACTTTTAAAAACCAAAATGACCTAAAGGAAACAAACAGCATTTTGAACTAAGCACAGAAATGCATTGGAGAGCATAATATTATCATTATATCCCTTATAAAAACCATCACAATCTAATTATGTAGTAGCACAAGTTTCTGAATCATCCTTAATGACAGTCCTGTATTGGGAAGTTACCAGAGTGTGGGTAATTTCGACCAGATTGTTTGTTTGCTTTAGAAATATATGTACCAGACAGACATTGCTCCCTAAAAATGTTTCTCCTTCAGAATCACAGTTATACAGACAACTTGAGTTCTGGTGACTTTATTTCCAAACATTTGAAGCTAAATAACAGGGATTCTTCCCCTTTCCAACCAGCTTAGCCCAGAGGTTTCTTCCTGTCAACCTTTACAACAGTTGAATAGCTTCCTGTCTCACTTGAGGAATCCTACAGTAATAGAATTTCTGCCCTGGCCAGACTGAACCTCCATTTGCTAACTTCCATCCAATCTGTTACTGCTTTTGGGCACCATTTTGCCATTCTTTTTGCCGGGCCTACTGCTAAAAACAAAGAAGCTATATATTATCCAAATACTGCTTTCTAAAACTGAACAGCTAGTTCTTGCTTACTTAGCATTGGTAAGCATTTTGCAGTTCAGCAACTGTTTGAAGTTGTGATAGCACCAAACAACTATTACTTATAACCAATCCTTGAAGTTATGGCCATTGCACCATGCCTGTGGTCATGTGATCACAATTTGGATGCTTGGCAACCAGCTCACACTTACAATGGTTGCAGCACCCTGTGGTGATGTGATCGCCATTTGCAGTCTCTTACCGGTTTCCCACAAGCAATGGGGAAACTGATAGAAAAGGTTGCAGTTAGCTCCAATAGGTCCTTCTGTCCTCTCTGAACTCACACGATGTGCACTCTCTGTTCCATCGCTCCCTGTGTTCATGTGGCACTGCACCCTGTTTTCCCTGGCTTCCCTGCACTTGCATGGCTCCACACCCTGCTTTTCCTGAGGTCCCTACACTTGTGCATGGGCTGAATTGCCTGTCCCAGCACCTCCCCAACTCCCATTATTAACCCCCCCAATACCAAATGGCTTGCAAGAATAACAATAAGCTATTTTGGGGAACAATTATGCCTAGCTTCAAGATCCTCTGTTCTTCTCAGGTTGACCTAAATACTTCTCCCCATGACAGTTGAATGCATCAGGGCCAAGAACATTTTTAAAAAGTCAAGAATAAACCTGCTTATATCTTAGACAAGGGTAATTGTGACTACAAGAGATCCTCGTTTGGCTACAATTGGGATGACAATCATTAAGCAAAGCAGTTGCTAAATGAAACTGCAACTATGTTTATAATCTTAATTCAGCTTTCCTTTGCTTTACAGACCTTCAGAGGTTGTAAATATGAGAACTACTTATATTATTTTTTCATCACTGTTGTGACTGTGAATGGTGGCTGTATAGATAAACCCTAAGCAAGAACTGACATTTTGCTTATAGCCTGGGTGTCAGGCATCCAGAAATTGTCTGTTGCAAATCAGTAACTCCGAGACAGGCATAATCTCTAAGTGCTTTATTAGAAACAAGTACTGGTAACGTCTGTAGAATTTCGGAACTGAGGTGCTTGCCAGACCTCCCACAAAATTCCACCTACACACACCTACTTTTCTACACCTCATTAATCACGTGAACCAATTATTCTGCAGCTACAATTACTTGCTAGCCACCCTCTGTAACCTTGAACTTTCAAACTCATATATTTTTTCTACTAAAAACTATTCAATTACATCTCCCCCTTCCCACATTTTCAACTCTGTGGCAGCGATTAATTCCAGAGCTGACACAGGAATGAATGCAACACCAGTAGAATTGCCTGTATATTTTGCTATCCACTATAAGGTACTAATACAGGTAGACTTAACAGTTCATTTAATGACCATTCGAAGTTACAAGGCACTGAAAAAAGTGACTTATGACTATTTTTCACACTTATGACTGTTGCAGCATCCCCATGGTCATATGATCAAAATTCAGACCCTTGGGAACTGGCTCATATTTATGATTGTTGTCGTGTCCCAGGTTCATGTGATCACCTTTTGTGACCTTCTGACAAGCAAAGTTGATGGGAAAACCAAATTCACTTAACAACCATGTTACTAATTTAGCAACTGAAGTGATTCACTTAACAACTGTAGCAAGAAAAGTCACAAAATGAAGCAAAATTCACTTAACAAATGTCTCACTTGTAAGTCAAAAACTGCCTGTATCACTTGCCTAAATGGTAAATGGGAGGAGGGAGAATTTGAGAGCCAAACTCAATATCTCTTTTTTAAAAGTGGTTTGATGTGAGACCCTAATCATCCTTTGTATTCCAAAATATTTTTTAAAACACATTCATATCAACAGGCATGACACAATTCCAACAATTGAACAAAAGGTGCCTTTCCCTGGTGTGGCAATCACTATTTTATTACAGACTGTACAGATAATGTGGACTGAAAGCTGGATTTAACAAACTCCATTCAGTAGACTTCAGATACAACAGACAAATTTTCTGTCTGGAAATAGAAATAAAGGACAAGTTGGTTGTACTTGAAGTAGTCAAGTTGAGGCAATAAATTTACATTGTCGTTTCCATCAGGTTACAGTATGTCATTCATTTAATAATGTCATCACACAAATTATGCAAATCACTGTGAATGATGCAGTTTGGAAGTAACAATCGCACAACCCTTTGAGCTGCTGAATTTGGGCTTCACTGTATTTGCTTTGTTTTTTTCTTAGGCTGTGGATTGTATGATTTCCAAGTCCTTGCGCGCTGGTTTTAGGCCAAGTAGTAAGTATCAGGACCATACCAGATAGCATCTGTATTAGGATTGTTCTTGTATTCATTCGTGGTTGGAAGAAAGAAATAGTCACTGCTTCTTCATGATCATGATGGGCAATAAGAATGCCTACGATTGAGTTCCGGTTTGTCAGGCTTCGGAGGCAGCAGGAATTCGCATTTGTGCGTGATCCCTGCTGCGCTCGCTGCTGGAGTGCCTTCGATCCAATTGGATTGGGAGGCTATAGTTATCCTGTAGGGATAACTGAAGAGAGGGGAGATCCGGGCAGGGGTCTGGGGATATCGCACCCCCCTTCCCCAGCCGGCTTAACTCCCTTTTCCAAAGGTGGTGGAGCGGCGGTCAGCAATGGCTGCCACAAAGAACCTCTCAGCCGGACAAGTTTTGTGCAGGAGGAAGTGAAGAAAGTGAAAGCTTTTGGCTGAACCAGGACGACAATCAACATCTGAATACCCTGGAACTTTGGCTCTTTAAGTGATATATTGTTTCCCAGAAGATCGTAAAGCTGCAGTGGAAAGTGAAAGGGAAAGCTTTTTTTTCTCCTCACTCTCCTTCCCTACGGAGACAGCAGATGGAAATCGGAAATACCCACTTTGGCAGCAGAAGGTACTAACTCTGAAAATTAAAGCCAAGGGGACATTAGATTTCTAAACACTGACATTTAATAATTAAAATCTTTTTGCTTTAAGTGGGAAGGAAGAGAGGTAAATGATTTATACCAAGGTTTGTTGAAGGAGATTGCTTGGAGTTTTATAAGATCAGAGATTAAATTGCAATAAAACTTCCAAAAAATACCTTGGAATTGTGTAATTGAATTCTACCCCAGGAAGAGAAAGTAGAAGAAAGTGCTAAATGAAACAGACTGCTGATTGTGCTGACTTTGATTGCTTGATGACTTTGGGACTTTTGTGAACTATCTTTTGAAAGACTAAGAAAACATTTGGATTGTTTAAAAATTTTTTCACAATGTTATCTGTTGAAGAACTGAAAATGCAATTTGAAAAGTTAAAAGAAGAGGAAGAAGAAGGCAAGGGCTCCTTTGGATCTATTTTTCGCATCTTAGAAATGGCGATTTCTACTTATCAGGAAATGCAACAAGAAGAAGGCTGGGATGATGAAGAAGAAGCCATCTTTAATGGACATATGATTTTAAATGAGAAAGAAAAGGGTAAAAAGGAAAAGAAAATGGAGAATTTAAGTTCTAAAAAAACAACCAAGAAAGGGAAAAATAAGGTGAAAAATCAATATAATGTCAGAAAGCAACAGAAAGGAGGAATATAACAGAGAGGGGAGACTAAAAGGCTGGAGATTGAGGGGGGGTGTAAAAAGGCTAGATTTGACAAGGAAGGAAGGGGAAAAGTGAAGGGAAGTTATAAAGGCTTAAAACAAGATGCTAATAAACAGGTTTTTTTCAGAGATAAAGGGTAAAACATAATCTAAAAAGAGATTCTGCAAAACTACATAAGATTGTATTGTAGTATTTGTATTTGAAATAGAGTTAGAAAATTGGAATAACATATGTGTTAAAAGAATATTGTAGGGAATGTGTAAAATGTGTAAGATTTAATAGAGTTTAATTAATTAATTTGTTATGGAACATTATTTTTAACATACTATAAGGTCATTATGTTTTATATTTTAAAATGTTATGTAGAATGTACTAAGCAGAATCAGAATAGAAACTATGTATTACTTTAAGTGTTAAATTTGGGGGAAAGATAGAAAGGTGTCAAACTTCAACCAGTGATTACAGGAAAAAGTTTGTGTTAAAGAGAAAAGATAAATAGATAATTGAAAAAGAACGGACAAAAGATACAAGTATAATGATTTAAATTGAGATTAAATAAATAAAATAGAATTAAGAGAGTGAAAAGAGGGGAGAAGACATATGGAAAATATAGAATGTTAAATAAGATATGAAATAGTATATAAGGTGAGCATGAATTTGATTTATGTCTGTACAAAAAGTTATAACCCGGGGTTAAGCCGCTTTCTAAAAAGAAGTTTTATGTTTTTATGTTATGTATTTTGTTTGTTTATGTTTGTTTATCGAGGATTAATGATGTTGGATAAGAACATATGAAACAGTAATAATACGAAATATAGTAATATGAAATACATGAAAGTATAAGTTTAATGAATAAAATTGAACAGAAATAAAGGAAGAAACAGTGAGAAGTTGGAAAAGAGTAATAAGATATGAAGTTGAATACATAAGATGCATATTAAAGTGTGTGTGAAAACGTGATAATTTAGAATTATGTTGTACTTAAGTAAGATGTTTTATTTGTTTTGTTAAGCAGTTTTTAGAAAAGATGTTCTATGTTCTTATGTTTTATGTTTTGTTTGTCTGTATATTGTCTTTAAAAATTAATAAAATTTGTTTTTTTTAAAAAAAAATGCTGACGATGATATTAAGAATAGTTTTTACCTCCTAAAATATGCTCTTAAAATTTTATATAAAGACTTTTCTAGACAGTTGGTCTTAATTTAACCTCAATTTAACCTGCTTATGCCAACTTAACCTTTATTTTAAATTTAGCTGTGCAAAATAACAATTCTTTGAAATGTTTGGTTCTTGTACAATATTTTTACAAATTTTTATAAACATGAATATGAATACAATATTAATGTCCTGTAATGTTAGATGTTTAAGACAAGACGAACGAACATAAGCAATCTGTAATAATTTTTGTTCCACTCTTAAAATTCTGTGGTTCCAACCTTCGGATAGAAACTTGCAAATCTAGCATAGTCCATTTTATTTGGCAAGCAGTGTTTTATTTGGCAGATGGTGTTTTGGATGTCAGTATTCAGAGCGACAGCCCCTGAAGTTAAGGTGGACCAAATGTAAAGCTGCATAGACAAATTTAAAGCTTGAATTAGAAAAAGGAAAAACCCAGAAACTTGGTGACTGTTATTTTTAGACTAATATATAATTCTAAAAGCATATTTTCTATTTTAGTTTGTATAATACATTGAGTATGAAAGTTGTATTTAAAGTGGAGGATTATTTGTAAGAAGGGTTAGGGTTAGGGTCAGAGTTTTAACTATTCTGATTAAGCAATTCTGATTAAGCAATTCTGTGACTTGGATCCCAAGTCAAACAGGAGTTTAGTGAATTGACCTCTCAGCCCCTCCCATTCTAGGCTGTTCTTTCAGTCTGTCAGAAGGCCTCTTCTAATAGTTTGGGGAAGATCCTTGAAATTCTGGTAGCACAAGGCATTGTTTATCTAAATAAAGCCATCTTTGAGTAGCTGTTAAATAACCCTGCTATTTGGATTTATTTATTTTTTATTTCAGCATGATCAATGCTCTCACATAAACGCCTACAGTACTTTTATGTGGATAGTCTAGCTACCACTATTTCAGTTTTCTAACTTGCTGAACAGCTTTTAGGAAAAACTAAAAAGAAAATAAAATGTTAAAAGTAAACCTAAAAATAGCAGCATCCAAATGCTACAATGTTGTTTTCATAAACTTTTCTTTTAAAAGTTTTCCTTGTATAAATATAAAAGGTAGTCAATTCATTAATAATTTTGCACTCATATGTAACCTTCTGAGACCAAATAATATTTGCATTCTGTAGACTGGCATCTGGTAATTTCAGTTTCATTTCCCCGAGCATGTTGTGTCTTCAGATAGCAAGATTATGGGCAGAGTGTCTGGTTTTATTTCTGCTTAACATCGAGGCTGTAGTGCTTAATAGACAGACAGCAGTCAGATTGAACTGAACTGCTACTGTCTTTATTTCCCAGGAGTAATGTCCCTAGAGTATTTGCACCTCAGGTCCAGAATTTAGTTTTGCCAGGCCACCAGAAAAATGTGAAGTAAATGGAGGACTGATGATGGGAGAAGATAAATGCATTGTTCAGCAAAACCTGGTAACAATGGTTTGAGTCCTATACAGCAAGTTAATTCATTTGAATTCCATTTCCATCCCCAGCCCATATTCTCACCTCAGTGCCCAAACTTACCAGAGCAGGACAACTGCAAAAAGAGTTGACCTTAACCATTTTCCCCACTAAGAAGTTCTCATAGTAAGTATTGAAAGTTAGCTATTCCTTCACTCCTTATATATTGGAGTGGCATTGGCACTCAACTGGAGTCCAATAGAGAGGAAATGGAGACAATTAGTTGCTTTTCCAGTTTTATTCAAAGCATTTTGCCAGGAGTGGTAACTTTGCTTTCTTCTCAAAGCAAAAGACAAAAAACTACTTTTTACAATATGAAATATTGGATTTGCTGCAGGGATTATTGTGAATGTTAATCTAGACTGGCCAGTATCTAGATTGGATACTGGAATTTACTATCTTTTAAAGGCAATATATATATACCATTTGCTCAAAACAAATTCATAAACGCTACTATTCACATTTAGTTAAATGTAGTCCTGGAATTACAACAGCTTATTTAGTGACCATTCAACATTACAACAGAACTGAAAAAGTGACTTACAACCGTTCTTCACGCTTATGACTGCTGTAGCATCTCCATGGTCACTTAATCAAAATTCAGACGCTTAGAAACTGACTTCTATTAATGATGGTTGCAGTGTCCTGGTGATCACCTTTTGTGATCTTTTGACAAGCAAAGTCAATGGGGAAGCCAGATTCATTTAACAGCCATGCTACTAAGTTTAGCAACTGCAATGATTCACAATGGGAGCAAGAAAGGTTGTACAATGAGAAAAATTCACTTAACTGGCTTGCTTAGCAACGGAAATTTTGGGGTCAATTGTGATCATAAGTTGAGTGCTACCTATATTCTACACCCATTGAGGGATAGGGCTGCCCTCCTGCCCATTTTGCTCACTCTTCCATAAATGCTGAAACCAATGAGCAGGTGTGCTTGCATGCAGTGCCTTAAAGCAAGAACAAAGAGAGGAAAAGCATCTATGGCACAAATTTGACACCACCACTCCTTTGTACATTGTTCTTGACTTCTGTATGGTAATTTTTCCCCCAGAATATTAACTCAATAGGTAAATGATTATGTTGCTTGTTAAATAGATATTAGATTTTTAACTTTATCTAAATAAAGACAATAAATTATCAGTAATAAAGCATTAATTAACATTAGGAAACAAACAAATGGAATAGCTGTCATTTACATATATAATCCCTTTCCTACTTCAATCTTTCTCCTTTCCCTTCTCTTTTGTTTCCCCCCCTTTTTTTTTATACACGGACTTGATGGATTAGAAACAAATACAAGCATGCTTCTAGTAGTTTTCAAGGGAAGGCAGTAGGATTCAAGCCTCAGTTTTCTTATAATCAATTAGACTGGAGTTTGTTTCTTTTTCCTTTACATCATGGGTGTCAAACTTGCGGGGTCACTTTGCCATCACATGATGTTTCATGATGTTTTTCCCCTTCACAAGAGTTGGAGTGGGTGTGGCCTGCACATGAATCATCTGGCCCACGGGATGCCAGGTTGACACCCCTGCTTTACATAATATCCGTGTTAGGTTGACAGCTTGGTGAAGTTTTTACAGGCCTAAGTACTGTGGTGGGATAAGGGGAATAGGGTCTCTGCTGTCCACCATCCCCCACCCCCAATTTCAAAGCAGCTGATGACTCCTTTTAATATAAGATATGATTTGGGGGAAACAAATAAAAAACTGTTTCGGCCTGCTAAAAGCTTTCATAATTTGTAACCAAAATTAAATGTATGCTTTCCCCTAAATAAATATAATTGTAAATCCTCTGACCTTTAGAGAAACAGATTATGGACATGGCCAGATATTATTTTTTCAGCAGTCAGTATTGGCAACATACATGTCTTCTTCAGATTTTAAACCTGTTTACATAAATTAAAAACCCAAAAGAAAGGTTTTATTTACATATCTTTCTGTTGAAGAAATCTAGGATAGTGACATCTTTGACTAGTTATATTAAGCTGCTTTGTCATTGTTAACTTGGTTATTGCCTGAATTTTAAGTGCTTTCCATTCTTCCCCTTCATTAACCTAACATAAACTATTGAGGAAAAACTATTCATTTGATTTTAAACATGTAATCCTTAAGGCAATAATTATAAGGTTCTGACAAGATAATATATCTGTCTTCTATTTGAAACAAAGCAAAGTGCTTCCTTAAATATGTATCTTGCCTGAGAATTTTTTGTTGTACACCAGAAATAATACTGCTGATATATTTCTGTAAGGAACAGCTCTTGTGGCTTATTTTTTTAATTAATGTATAGTGGGATGTTGTCCTTGGAAAAGCATCAATTCATATATATTAATGCTAGCAGAGACCCAGTTTAATTTGGTGATTAAGACTGGTAACAGGAAGACCATGGCTTCCTGCCTTAGGCACGAAGCCACCAGCTGGGTCACTTTTGGCCACTCCCTTACTTATAGACCTAGGAAAAAGTCAGTAGCAATCTACTTCCGAAAAATTTGCCAAAAAAAACTGCATGAACTTGTCCAGACCAGTTGCCAGGAGTCAAGGCAAATTTTAAGGCAAACAATTAAAATAATATAAAACATTCAGCATATTATTAGAATAACAGACACTTGGAATCTGTGGCTAAGAAATCTAGAACAACAACCAAACTAAAATGACATAAAGGTTTTCTTCAAGCTTATATGTCATTTGCTTGACAGTGAGTAGCAGTGTTCCACTGATAGCTTAAATTCCAGTTTCACATTTTCTTTTAATACTAAACATACACAGCAAGAAATATTTCTCTGAATATGGAAAGGAATCCAAACTAGTTTAATCTTTTAAAAGCAATATGTATTTATTTAAATATCTATAGAAATCAAAACAAGCTTAGCTTTTACATAAGATTTTAAAAGTTGATGTAGGTGAACTCTGTACCCGAACCTTGTTCTAACTCATTCTGTATAGTGTAGGAAAGTCTGCTAACCAAGTAAGATTACTTACTAAGTTCCTGTTTCATGAATATTGACTTTAGTTAAGCAAATAAATCAGCCAAGTTAGTCAGAAAATAACAAGGAAACAGTAAGGCAGAAGTACGTTTTGCTAGTTGAGGAGGCTACTTTTTAATGAAATGGCAGTTTATGCAGGTAAAGAAAAAGATATTTAGCATTAAAAAGAACAAGAGAGGAAATTGCAAACCTCTGTGTTAATTGTTGTATGCATCTGAAAAGTTGTATTGGAAAGAATATTACAGGAAAGTAGGAATTGGTACTGGTGTCCCAACTATCACAAAAGAAGACTTGAACTAACATAGCGATTTACCTAAAAACAGCTTAGAGGGAGTGGATTATCCAGATCCCTTACAATCTAATTTCTGAGCTGGATGTGGGATTGAGTCACCATTGCTCTAGTTGGATAAACTTTGTTGGGAAATGGATGGGAGTATGCACCCTTCTTGGTCCCTTTTGACCTTTCAGGGAGATATTCTGCATACTGGAATTTGGAAAGTTTTTAGCCTGTTAAAGATGAAACATGCTTTAAGCATTCAGAGAAGAAAAAGAGATTATGGAAGAATGGGAAATAGAATGGTAGTTCCCTAAAGAGTAGAGTAGTTTTGGCTTGCTGCTATGAAAAACTGAAATATATGCCAGCTAGACCTATTGGCTCATTTTTGTCAGGAGCAGAAACCAGGGATGGATAGAACAACTCCTAAGATATTTCAACTCAGTGAAATTTCACTCATGGTGGACCGACTCAGATCCTGGGACCTTCATATTTCAATCCCACGATTATCCAGTCTTGCTAATGTTGATGGGAACAAATGATCTGGCAGACAACAACTAAAGCCTTTACATTTCTAAAACTTCTCTTTTAGATGGAGCAGTTCTCAGATGAAGAACTTGATCATGGTGCAGAAGAAGATAGTGATAAAGAAGATCAGGATCTGGATAAGATGTTCGGAGCTTGGCTTGGAGAGTTAGATAAACTCACACAGGTTAAAGTTTGTTTATAATTCTATGAGATGCAAACTGTAAAAGAGATCACTAGCATAACAGCGTTCTATAACTTGCATTCTCAGAGTGTGTATATAGTAAAACATTCCTTAGTTCCAGACAAGGTGACTAGCAGATTGATTTAGGGTAATGCTGTTGGTAGGTTATATCAGCAACAGAGATTATAATTTACAAGCAGTATTTTACACAGAATATTTGATTGCTCTTACATTGTCCTCCTATCATTTGGAAGCAGCTCACCAGGCTAAAAAAAACCTAGCCCTTTGGTATGCTTAACATTATGTCAGAGTTTGGATTTCTGGTTTATTATATAATTCCTGAGTCTCCAATAATCCCCTATCACTAGGCAACAAGGCAGAAGAGAGCCAGACAACAAATTCCCTATTGCTTTTTCTCCAATGAATACACTTCCAACCATTAGGACAGTATCTGGCCTAGCCATTTAACCAACTCTTCACTCCCTCCTTTTCCTCGTATCCTGTCTGGACCCCCATCCTAGCTCCAATGCTCATTTCAGTGATTAGGGTTACCACCAATACTTCCCAACTTTGCTTGATCAAGACAGTCCCTGATACTATTCAGTAGTAACTATGGCCCTATATCATAGATAACTGGATACATTTTTTCTTTCCTATATAGAGATTCATAAAAATATTTTATTTTGACAGATTTATTATTGGTAGCCATTAAACATTTTGTAAATACAAATTTTTTAAAAAAAAATATCTGTTGAGGTGTAATTATTTCCTTATGTTCATTTGTAGATCTTGATTATTTTTCTCAAATTCATTTAGAGTTTGGATACAGACAAGCCTATGGAACCAGTAAAAAGATCCCCTCTTCGGCAGGATGCTAATATTGCCAACTTCTCTTATCGCTTTTCCATGTACAACCTGAATGGTAAGATTGATAATTTATTTCAACTGGGGAAAAAATAAAGTTATATATTTGAGTGCAAAACAAACAATCCTGTTGAAACCTATTACTTCATCTATAAGTATACAGTACATACTGTTTTTCTAAATGAAGTTTTCCTGTTGAAATTTTGATAAAATTTCATGGAGCAATAATAATTTAAACCCACATCAGATAAATGATTAGTTTGACTGACACATAATGCTAAGCCATAATGTTATTGATTTGATTTTGGTTCAGCGTGATATATGAATGCAGCCCATAAAAAAAATTATTGTTTATTCTTGTCAGTAAATTATTCTCCATAAGTATTGTTTATTAGCACATGAATTTTGACTTGCTCTAAATATGGTTTGATTTATATTTGAATCCAGAATAATTAATTAATTTGTTCTCTGTCCATTTTCTCTGGAAAGTGGAGAAAATAAATTGGGACATGAGGAATTCATTATTTCTTCGTTCATCTACAAAAATAGCATTAACTTGTTTATCAGACTATGGTTAAAGTAACATTATGTGCAAAAACCGCCCATGCAGTAAAAACAGAAAGTCTGACTATTATTTCCATAAGCTGATCAACAACATTGTTAAGGCAGTCACATATCTTCCCAAACTGCTACTATTTCTGCCTGCATGTGAGTGCATAGCTACTTCATCTTTTTTCCCCAGCAAAACAAAGTGGCTGAGCATACAGATGCCTGCAGAGACACTTGTGAACAACTTCTGAACCTGATCCCTGAATCTAGAAAAAGAGATAGCTGTTTTAATTTGAGGGGGTAAAATCCAAAGAACCTCTTTTTGATGGATTTGCATGGCCCAACTAATCAAGTAAATCTAACATTAAACTAAAATAACTTAGATATAGTGGAACCTGATAATTGAAATTGGAATACTGTTTATGTTCTTGTCATTCACTGCAGAAGCCTTGAACCAAGGTGAGACTGTAGATCTTGATGCTCTTATGGCAGATCTTTGTTCCATAGAGCAGGAGCTCAGTAGCATTGGATCACAGTCCACCAACAGCGTATCAATGAAATGTTTTCCCATAGAAGGGAAAATGACCCAGAAACCATCAAGTGGTAACCGACTTCCTTCCAAGCATGGTAGCATGAAAGGATTATCTTCATCTAGTCAAGTAACAAAGCCTTCACATGCTGTCTTCTCTCTGGATGACATTACTGCACAGCTAGAGAAAGCATCTCTAAGTATGGATGAAGCAGCTCAGCAATCTATAATTGAAGATAGCAAGCCTGTAGTTGCTATTCAGCATAGGAGGACAGCATCAGCTGGAACTGTGAGTGATGCTGAAGTCCATTCTATCAGTAATTTCTCCCGATCTAGTATCACATCTGCAGCATCCAGTATGGACTCCCTGGACGTTGACAAGATGACAAGACCTCAAGAGTTGGAGTTGACTTCCCACAGGCAGCCCATCAGTGAGGTAAACTATGATTGTTCATATGAGTTAGTTAAGTTTCAAAATATAATTCTTTGGTTTATTTTGGGCCCTTTATAAAATAAAGAGACTGCTTTTTACTATTTTCCTGTTTTCCTCGTATAGGTTGCTGCATAGGAGTCTTCTATAGAGGCCATCCATAACAAATTTTATCAATAAGAGCACTGATATTTAATCTTAAACACTAACTTTTGAGTAACACTGCTTGTTTGTTATGTACAGCTAAAGATTTAAATGTGGGTTTCCCTAAGATATATAAGCATTCATTTTCGTGTTATGAATACTCTGTGAATAATCTGAAACAAAAAAACCCACTCCAATTTAGTATTAACTAATGCAATCTACATTGCACAGTGTTCTGATGTTGGCAAAGTTGTTTTTACAGCACTGACCAAAATTACAAAGAAAAACACCAGAATCATTCAGCGAGGATGGATATTAGTTTAGTTGACTTCATAACTTTGTATGAATTCTTTTGAAAATGGAGCCATGTTTGGGGAGATGACAGATGATAAACTATATTGTGACTGAAAAGAGGAAAACTGAGATATGGAAAGAAATAGAACAAGTAATGGAGAAAGATATATTGTCTGAGATAAAGGAGATGAAAAATGCGGAAGCCTGAATAAGAGACAAGTAAAAAGAGTCTGGAATTTGAGAATGAATAGGTTCTCATCAAAGGAAAAATATGCCACTCCTGAAATGGTTATTAAGAGATTTTGGTATTCTATATGTACTGAGGTTCATCGGTATATGCTATTCTTACCAGCCAATTTTTTGATTGTAGGCTGTTCTTAGGGAAAAACAAGACCTGAAAAATTATATCACGAGGAGTGGTTGGTGCTCTCTAGCACTTGATGATGTTACCTAGTTTGGGTAATGAAATGTCTGCAAGAAAACAAGCAAGCTCAGAGACCACCAATGAACCTCATATCAACCCTGATCTACAAATATTCTCCTTTATATGATGAAGAAGAAGAAAAAAATCTAAACATCTTGAAATAACTTAAAAATCTGCCTTCTTATCCCTTTTCTAAAATGAATAACTTAATTCAAATGTTGAGAAGTAAATATATATCAACAGTTCATTACCACAGTTGAAATATATATTTATTATTCCAGTGTTCAGTACAAACACACCATACACACACATTCTTTTTTTGTTTTATAGATTCCAAGCCCTAACATACAATCAAGATAAACATATTAACATTTTTACATGCAACATGGTCTATAATTAAGTTAATAATCCTATGGATTTCTCCTCGAAATGGATAATCCCAGGACAAGTTTAGGATACTATATGTGAGTTAATGTTCCAATTTCTGATTTGCATTTCTGATAGGACAAAAATAGTGGACAATCTCTATTAAACATTCTCTACATTGTCCTAATCTATTATGCAAAAAAAATCTAAATTATACTGACCTCATTTTAAGATCAAAGAAAATAAATGTCATATCATACTCTTGCAAGAACAGGACAAGCCTGTTATACCAGGGATAACACGAATTATTAACACTAATTTCATCAAATGCCTTCATCTAATTATAAAAAGTGATTGCAGGACTAATCCTAATCACTGCACTGTGAGCTGAACCCACAGACATGGCTTTTTCCAGCTGACCTGATGAATGAATTGGATAATCCATGCTTTATTGTTTGTACTGATGTTTTATTTTGTTTTAATTTTTCTTAGTAAGCTACTGTGAATTTGAATTTGAATAATAATATATGAATGTAATAAATGAATAATCCTCCATTCCCTACTTTCTCCATTTCCTGTTGTACATTTTGGGGGAATCTGGAAAAATATGGAGAAACAAAGAAGCTTGAATTAACCAACAGCCCTAATTCATGATTCTTCTCTCTATCTTTATGTGCTATCAATACTCCATAGAGCTCAGTGATTACACTGTGGTTTAGATTCATCTGATCTCATTTGTTAGGAAGATAAAGTCATTGATCCTTGTTTATTTTGTAATGTGTACAAAATTCATCATCCCTAAATTACTAAATTAACTTTTTCCAAAAATCTAGGCTAGGTATGAGAATTATAAGATTTATATGTTCATGATTTTTTTTAAAAAAATGACATTTCCATTTTAGTAATTTTGTTTGTTTAGAAATAAAGTGGAGAAAAATTTCCTTATTTGCAATTCATATTTATATTAATGTTAAGAATATGATTATTAATATTATTGTGGCCTATAGCATTGTGAGCAACATAAATGTCAGAATGACAAATGAAATGCAGAAAGAAGGAGGAAGGAAAAGATAAAGAATATTCTGAGTGGCAATCTACTTACACCGAGATGTATATTGTCTAATATGTTTTAAACCTGTGATTTTACTCCTACATTACTGTTTAATGTTGTTGGTTCCTGATCAGAATTTGCTCTCCTTCACTTTAAAATATGTTAATGAGAGAAGATGTGATTCATACTTTTTCTTTAGAGGTTTAATTCATTGTAAGCATTAGTCCTAAAGATGGAAGAGTACTTAATAATATGAGAGGGTCAGAAATGTATGCTGTATTTTCCATTATGTTAGTTGTTTTTGAATTTTAAGGGATTTGGGAACAGGGCAGTATTATCAGTAAAACAAAATAAATAATTAAAGAAAATCAGTAGGAATGCAGCCTAGCAAGTGAGAAGCATTCTTTCCTCAATATGTAGAAGCCAAATGGTAGTAGTAGAAATCAAAATTAAGTAATTTGTCAAATGAACAAGTAGGGAGAGAAATACGAAAAGAAGGGAGACGCTGAAGGATTGAGTGTAGCTACCCAAGCAGTTGGCTGAGGAAGGCAAGGATGCAGCCATACTGAGTGTGCCTCTGCTTGTGTGACTTAAATAGGCTGTGTCTGTTAGATAGGCAAATGGCAGCTAAATGTGGCAGCAGATCAAAGACTATTAGATAAGTTGGTGTACAGGAGAGAAAAGATTGTTAGAGCAATACAATCTGACCCAAATTCTATAAAAATGTTTGAAGAGTTTCCGAGAAATACGCCATGTCCTTTGAGGTCTATGTATACCCTTAGTTTGTAAGCAGAAGACTGTGGCATTGTGGGAGAGGGAGAATGGCAAAAATATCAGGCCATTACAATACAAAAGCTCTACCTCATTCATCTTTGTACCCTGACATCACAAATATTTAAAGGGTCTTGCCTTTTTAAGTTTTAATTTTAATTATTCTATTCTTGTTTTAGTTGCCTCCTAATATAATTATATACAGCTTTCATGTTTTATTTATTTATTTATTATGCTGTCTATCTCCCCTAGAAGGTGACTCTGGACAGCTTACAAGTTATAAAACAGTAAAAAAAATAATTAAATTATTAAACATTAAAACTATACAGGTTAAAAACTATTAAAATTGAAAGAGAACAAAGAGACTTACAGGAGAGGGATGAGGTCGTCTTATCCCATCAGCCACCTCTACTGGGGAGCTGTATCTGTATAGTTGCTAAAGAAAGAAAATGAAAAATTCAACTTACAATTATAGAATGAAGCAAAATAGTCTAACATTGGACATATTAAAGAATATTTTGAAAAATGGACTCAAGTGTCAAAAGAGACATTTTCTTTTTTGGGAGACTATCTAAAATGGGTGTCAAACTCAAGGCCCATGGGCTGGATTGCCCCCACAGATGCTTAGATCTGGCCCATGGGGCCGGCCTGAAAATAGCAAAGGACCAGCCCACAGTGCCTCTGTTGGCCAAAATGGGCCACGCATGCTCCTCAGCCTCTTTTTGTCCAGGAAAATGCTGTAGGAGGCCGTGGAGGCTGAAAATGGGCTGCAGGGCCCTGCCCTCCGCCGAAGTGCAGGAGGATGTCCAGGTCAAAAAAAGGGCCATGGGACCACATGAGGTCCTTCCATGCCCCATTTTGGCCGGCAAGGTGCTGCAGAAGATGTCCATCCCACCTCCCCTCTCTGCCTCCCCCCACCCACTGGCCCGTAGAGAAGAACTACAATGCTGATACGGCCCTCAAAGAAATCCAGTTTGTCACCCCTGATCTAAAAGATGCTATGGAAGAGGATCAAGTTCTGCGTAACAAGAAACATAGTTGAAAGTGAATTCACAAATGAATGCCAAGAATGAAATGGAAAAAGATACTACACTGGTTATGTAAAGGAAACTATCCAGGGGTGGGATCCGACAGGGTTAACTACCAGTTCGGTCATTTACGAGGTTCGGTGATTTACGATGTGCTTCCCTGCACACTGCCGGTACGTGCCTGTAAATCGTCATCAGCATGCTGCATGCAGAGAAGCAGCCTTTCAAGAAGCCCCTTTTTCCTGTTTTTTTAACTGCAGCTGTGCCTCGCACGGCAGCTGAAGTTGAAAAAATCAGGAAATAAAGGTCAGGTAAGAGCCCGGGTGGGCGGGTGGACAAAAACATCTACAGACATAGAACCGGTTCTATGTCTGCTGCTCTTCAGAGCTACTAGTTCTACAGAGGTGGACAGAACCGGTAGAAACCCAGCCCTGAAACCATCTGATGTCTTAATAATTAAAAGGAATATACAAACAATAAACCAAGATAGTGACCTGGATAATTGTTTAATATTGGATTTACAAGGCGGTTGCTAAACTTTTGAAAAATCTCAGGAGAATAGATAAAGAAAAAATGAAAAGAAATCAAGTTGTGTTACATTTTATTAATGGACCAAAGATTAAGATTGTTAGACGTAAGAGAATAGAATGTAAAGTTGATTTATTTAATCAAAGCTAAATTCAGTATGTTGTTATCTCTGGTAACCATAATGGACTTTCGTTGACATCGGATCTGAAATAAATGTTTGTTTATGGATTTATTTATGAAATCAGATCCAATTTTCATTTTTATTAGAAATACAAATTAAAGCTTAAGAAAAGTTAAGCATAAGATAAAAAATATACTAGCAATGGGAAACATTTAAGGAATGCATATAAATAATAGGGATGAACCCCCACCAAAAGATGTCATGCAAGCATCTAATCAG